GCGGCTGAAACCAGACTAATTATCCACATGGATACAAACACCTAAACAAGTTTGACAAGCGGTCTCTGTCAGACAGACATACAGCTAATATCCTCATGTCACAAAAGACAGACAAATCAAGGAAACAGATGAACAAAACAAGAGAGACAGACAAAAATCAGTCAGGCGCAGACCTGTGCCTGACCCCCACTCTGATGTCTTCTCAACCACATCCATGAAGGGATGAGAACTTTATCTTAGCATAAGTGGGGAGGTATAAACCCCACTCCAGTTCCCTGCCCCAGGGGCCTGCCACTAAACTGTATGATAAAGTCGTGGAATTGTGGGTGGTGGCCCACTCAGACTCCATAGCTTCAGGGCCGTGGAATGACATCCAGACACTCACTCACTCATATAAAATGCAAAACATACAATAACTAACCTATTTAACAGACTGACAACCATGAAACGGGGGTGCACTCCCCACTGCTAAACCAACAGTGAGACAAGAGGGGCCACTCCCCCCTGCCTCATCCCTTTACTTCTGGAAAAACTGATGGTGAGACAAAGGGACCTCTCCCCTCTGCCTCAGGGACAGACTCTCACAGCTGTGTCCAGCCAGTCTAGTTCCAGTCTAGTTCTCTAGAGACCGAAACAAAATTGGACATGACAAACTAGACAAACCAGAACAGGAAAAAAAAAAAAAAAACTTACTGAATTGGAAAATTTGTGAACCTGTGCCCTGAATCCACATGTTCAAGAACTCAGAGGCAGAGAAACTCTCTGAGGCCTTCCCCTGGAACTGTCAGCTGGTGGTCGGCTCAGGCGGGGATCCGAAGAATCTCACTGTGGCCTTCAGAAATTTAGTGACTCACACAGCTGAGAAGGAGAAACGGACCCCACTTCAATGTAAATAATCAATAGACATTTATTATACCTGCACAGGGGTCATTGCCCTTAAGAAGCTTTTGGGTTTTTAGTTCAAGGTGGTGGTGAGGTACATAAAGTTTCTGAGAACTCGGGACTTTCCTTATCTTTTAGCCTCTTTTCAGAATTATCCTTCTCCCTACTCACTCCCTTATCTTCAAGCCTATTCTCAGACTTATCCACCCCACCCTTGAGGGGCTGGGACTACTGGAGTCAAAAGATGTTTCCTTTTCAAGGGTAGGGGGCTGGGTTATCAAATAATATCTTTGTTTAATTTCTGTTTAGAGGACCTGTTCAGCTTGGAGAGAGAGGTGTTGCAGTCCCCTGTTATTATGGTGTTATAGGATATCATATTGCTCTGACTAAGCAAAGTCTGCTTTAAGAATCTGGGAGCATTTAAATTGGGTGCATAAATATAAGGAATTGAAACGTCTTCTTGTTGTATTTCTACCTTGACCCATATGAAGTGACCATCATTGTCTTTCTTCACTTAAGTTGAAGTGAAGTTAAATCTACAAATATCGGAAAATAAGATTGCAACCCCTCTTCAATTCTAAATTCCATTTGCCTGAGAAATTGAGTTCCAACCCTTAACTCTGAGTTTTAATTTGTCTTTTGATGTGAGGTATGTTTCCTGTTGACAGCAAATAGATGGCTTGTGTTTTTAATCCAATCAGCCAATCTACGGCTCTTCAGCGTGGAATTAAAGCAGTTGACATTTATTGAGATAATTGATGAGTGTGGTAGCATTATATCCATCTTATTTTGTGAAATTCCATTGCTTAGTTTTGTCTTTTTGCATCATTGTAGAAACTAGATTATTTCCTTTAATTTCTGGGTGTTTACTTTGATGAAGGTTCATTGTGATGGTCAGTGTGTACAATAGATTGAACTATTTCCTGTAGAGCTGGTCTTGTTATGGCAAATTTCCCCAATGTTTGCATATCAATAAAAGATTTGATTTCTCCATTTATTTTAAAGCTTAGCTTAGCAGGATATAGAATTCTGGGCTGGAAATTGTTCTGTTTGAGTAGATTAAAGGTAGATGACCATTGTCTTCTGGCTTGAAAAGTTTCATTAGAGAAGTCTGCGGTCACTGTGATAGATTTGCCCCATAGGCCAGTTGGTGCTTGCTCCTGGCAGCTTGCAAAATCTTTTCTTCTGTCTTGACTTTAGATAGATTCATCACAGTGAGCCTTGGAGAAGCTTTATTTGAATTGAGGTGACCAGGGGACCAATATCCCTCTGAAAAGGGTATGTCAAAGTCTTTGGTGATATTTGGGAAATTTTCATTTATAATATTGTCTAGAATGGCTTCCATTCCTCTGGGGCATTCTTCTTCCCTTTCTGGGATACCTATAACTCACATGTTTGAATGCTTGGTAGAGTCCAATAATTCTGTCAGTGGATGTTCTTCTTTCTCTCTCTTCTTTTCTGACTCTTTAACTATCTGAGTTATCTCAAGAATTTTATCCTCTACCTCTGAGATTCTTTCTTCTGCATGATGTAATCTGTTGTTGATACTTTCTATTGCATCCTTATGTTCCCTAATTGACTGCTTTAGTTTCTTGAGCTCTGCTATATCCTTTCTATATTCTTCGTATCATTTATCTCTTATTTGATTCTGTTTTTGGGTTATCTTTTGGTTAATTTCCACTTTCTCAACAATTTCTTTCTTTTTTTAATCATCTGTATTTTAAATTCCCCTTCTGTCATTTCTAACATTTCTTTATAGGAGGAATCCGCTGCTGTAGCTACCTCACAATCCCTAGGAGGGATTACTATAGACTGGTATTTCATATTACCAGGATTTTTCTGCTGATTCTTCATCATGAGTGCTTTCCTGGATCTGTTTCATTACCCTAATTTTCCTTTCACTCCTTCCTGCTCTTTAAGTTACTGTGCCACTGGCCTAAAATTTGAATGAGTCCTATTGGTACAGGACCAGAAGAATGAGAAGGTTGAAGAGCAAGGAGGGGAAAAAAGATTTTTAAAAGAAAGAAAAAATAGGAAGAATAGGGAGTAAAAGTAAATATTGACAAAAAGAAGAAAGTCACTGAAAGGAGACAAGAGTAATGTAGGTGTATAGTATAATCCTATGACCGAACCTTAAAGACCTCCAACCTCTGGAGGTGCTGGGTTGGGTGATTCCTTTGAGGTAAATAGCTCTTTGCCAGCCATATCAGACACAGCACCCCATGTCCACCAGGTGGAGAGGAAAGGCAAAAATTCTATAAATCAAACTGAAACAAACAAAAGCCCTTATGGGATAAAATTGGGGGGAAAATACAAATGATAGGGGGAGAAACACTGGAAAAAATGAAATTTTAATTATTAAAGAAGGAAAAAATGGAAGATTGTATTGAAACTATAATAGTGAAAAAAAAGAAAAAAGGAAAAGAAAAAAGAAAAATGTCAAGGAAAAATGTTGAAATTAAAAACAGAAACCCCCAAAACAAAAAAAACAATATCTATCTATCTATCTATCTGTCTATCTATCTAAGATAGATAGACAGATAGATATAGATATAGATATAGATATAGATATAGATATAGATATCTTGCTGAATATTGTCCAGGCAACAGGTAATCTTCTGAGGTCTGAAATGTTCATCACAATGTTGATACAGCTGTACGAGATGGAGACTGGAGGCTTCTGCTGATCTCAGATCCCGCAGGCTTGAGAACTTGGAAGTCCCCTCAGCCCACTTAAAAGACCTCCAAACTATGAACCTCGGCCAAGCAGAAGCTGTCCAAGGAAAACATTTATCCCTGGGATCTCACCTGGTGTGGCTGCTTGCTTATCCACTGGGCCAAATCCAGTCTCCCTTTATGCTTCTGAGGGCCAAGGCTGTTATTCTACCAAACACTTGGATCTCCACACTTCCCCAGCATCTCAACCCCTGCCTTTGGGCAGCTCAGTCACTAGTTTACTCAACTAATGTCTCCCTGGCATCCCAGTGCTGCAACACACAGGGGCAGCTTCCCCACAGATGCTGTTTGGGCAGCTCCCTCACAGAAGTTTTTCTGGCAGCCCACAGGTGAACGATATTAGCTCCTTTCTGGCTCAGCAGATCAGTCTGGGGCTCCAGACAATCCCCAAAGTCATCCACACATCAGCCCAAGATCTCTCAAGGCAGTTCAATTGAGAGCCCAAGTCCAAAAAACCCCCAAACAGCCCACAGGTAAGGCTTTTCTTGCTTGCAGTCTCACTGTTGCTATGGTTACAGCTGCAGGCAGCCTTCAACTAAACAAATGCACCTACCACTTGCCAGCTTTCCACCACTTCTGTCCTCCTTGTGGCATCCAGAAGTCTCTCGCTGACTTCCTATGTCACCAAAGGGAAGCCTCTGAGCAAAACCCACTGACCAGAGACGCCTGGAGTCTTCTCTCCCCACGCTCACTGAGCCCAGCTGCACAGAAGCTATTGCTCAGCTGCCATCTTAGCCAAAAACTCAACTTCTGTACATTTTAAATGCTTGATTTTATCAATTACTGAGAAAAAATGGGTTAAAAATCTTTTTTATAATTATATATTTTTCTATTTTTACTCTTCTTTCAATTTTGACATTATATATTTGGAAGCTGTGTTAGTAAGTGAATATCAGTGTGAAATATTTATATCTTCTTGGTGAATTGAAAAGCTCATGTCCTTATAAATGTTTTCCTGTGTCAATATATTTTCAGAATCATCCTTTTTGTCTATGTTCACATCTAGCCTTTCAATCCTGTGTCATTATATTTTATATGTCTATTTTTAGCAACATATGAAAAAATCCAGTTGCAAAATTTTTGTCTTTTAATTGATGACCTAAATTTATATGTTGGAAAATAATAATTCCTAAAACATGAGGGTAACACTTTGGATGCAGCCTATAAAATATTAATCCTAAATCACAATCTAAAAAGAGTAGTTAATATAGTGAAAGGGGCAAATATGGGAGGCTTTTTCTGAGTGTCACTTTGCTCATACTTGATATAAACCATGTGGTCTGTGAAAAGTATTCAGAAGGTTTCTATCGAATAGAGAAGTAAGAAATAATTACAATATTTTGCCAATTCTGAGGTAACCACTTTACTTTTATCTTTTCTAGACTCGTTGCTACTATCAAGGACATATTGAAGGATATCCGAATTCCTATGTCACACTCAGCACATGTTCCGGACTGAGGTTATTAGTTTCTGTCATTCATTACAAAACACCATAGTTATGCTATTTGGCTGTTGTGACACTGTTTGTATTAAGTGTGGTGCTCTGCGAGAAGATTCCTATGAGGAGATTATTCAATGATATACTACTCTGGACATGATTCCAATTCTCTTACTTTCTCTCACTTTCTTCACTAGCAGAGACATTTCTAATTCCCTCAAAGATTCAGATTTCCTGGATTCCTTGATTTCTTATTTTTTCTTAACCACTGAAATAACAATTGAACATACATCAGTATGAGAATTGGAGGCACTATGATTAAAATAGTTGAGTCACTGACATAAAAAATGTATGAATTACTTGATCACTGTAATAGCATATGTTTGTGTACTTAGCAATTAACAAGGTAATTTCTGCTGTGTTTATAACTAGGAAGTGAAATGGAATGTTAGTTTTGTGGATTAGTAAAATCTTTTGTGTCTTCAGTATCTTCTCTAAAGCAGAGTTTGAATCACAATACTGGACTCAAAATGTTTTATATCTGTGATACTTTTTTCTTTTGGATTGTGTCTTAGTTTTATAACATATATTTGAGTAAAAGAACTTAAAATTTTAACCTTAATTTTACAGAGGAATACTGCAATTCAAAAATGTTTCTTATGGAATTGAGCCTATGGCATCTGAAATTGAATTTCTGCATCTTCTTTATAAATTAAAGAAAGAAAATGATGAATATTCAATTTTTAGTAACAGAGACATAGAAAAATACCCAATGGACTCTAACATTTTTATAAGTGAAAAAGTGAGTTATATATGTTTTATTACTATTTTTTATTTTTTTACTTCAAATTAATATGAGGGTACATGTTTTTAAGTTACATTCTTTTCAAATTCTAAGGTAAAGTTAAAGTAGTTGAACCCTTCACCCAGGGGGGAGGGCTGAACACCCTCACATTAAGTGAGATCCTACCAATGGCTCTCTCTTCTTCTGCCAATCACCCTCCCTCTTTTCTTTTCCACTGTTCTTCCTCTCCATTTCCTCTTGCTAGATTATATGTGTGTTTATCATTTGTCTGGATGTATAATTGTTTATATTATATTGGTTTCATATTAGTATTCCAATTCTCTTACTTTCTTTCACATTGGATTTTTTTTCCCTTTCTTGAGACATTTTACTAAGAATAATGTATATATACTCCATCCAAGTAAACATAAAAGATGTAAAGTCTCCATCTTTTCTTATGGCTGAATAGTAGTCCTTGCTATACTATACCACAGTTTGTTAATCCATTCATGCATTGATAGACATTTTATTGCTTCTATGACTTGGCAATTGTGAAATGAGCTGCAATAAACATTCCGATGCAAATGTCTTTGTGGTAAAATTGTTTTTGTTCTTCTGGATAGATACATAGTAATGGAATTGTGAGATTTACTGAAAGGTTGGATTTTACTTCTTTAAGAATTCTTCATACTTCTTTCCATAGAAGTTATATTAGTTTGCAATTCCACCAGCAGTGTAGAAGTGTTCCCTTCTCTCTACATCCACACCAGCATCTGCAGATTTTGGAATTTGTGATGTGGGCTAATCTCACAGGAGTTAGGTGATACCTAAGAGTAGTTTTTATTTGCATTTTTCTGATGATTAGAGATAATGATTATTTTTCATGTGTTTTTGTTTGTTGTCCATTTGTCTACACAATGGATACTTTTCCATTCTTGTGACATTTTACTAAGAAGTGTATGTTTCAACTCCATCTAGGCAAACACAAAATATGTAAAGTCTCCATCTCTTTTATGGCTGAATAGTATTGCACTATATATATCACAGTTTATTAATATATTCATATGTTGATGTGCACAGGTTGCTTCCACGTCTTGTGTGAATTGAACTTCAATAAACATTCTAGTGCAAATGTCCTTGTGATAAAATGATTTTTTTTTCCTTATGATAGATGCCTAATAATGGGATTATAGGAGCAAATGGAAGGTCCACATTTAGTTCTTTGAGGATTCTCTGTACTTCTTTCCAAAGAAGCGGTATTCATTTGAAATCCCACCAGCACTGCAGAAGGTTCCCATCTCTCCACTTTGCCACCAACATTTGCAGCTTTGGGATTTTGTGTTGTGGCCTATTCTAAAAGGGTTAGGTGATACCTCAGAATGGTTTTGATCTACATTTCTCTAATGATTAGGGATGATGAGCATTTTTTCATGTGGTTGTTGGCCTTTGTCTGTTTTATTTAAGAAGTTTCTGTTCAAGTTCCAGCCCACTTATAAATGGGATTGTTTGCTCTTTTATTGCTGATTAATTGAGGTTTTCTATAGATTCTAGTTATCAGTATTTTGTCATATTCGTAGCATGGAAATATCTTCTTCCATTCTGACAGTTGTCTGTTTAGTTATTGTACCCTTGGCTTTGCAAAACCTTTTTTGTTTGATCATGTCACATTTATTTATTTTAAGTGTTGCTACACTTGTCAAGGGGGTCTTCATAAATTCTTCATAAATTCCAGGCCAATTTTGTCAAGAGCTTTCCCCACAATTCTTGCCACCACTAACTGCTTGAATGAGCTAGAGCTTTTGCCTGGGGCCCTTCCTACACAGCTTCACAAGGCTTCCTTTTGGGGCTGCAGCATGAGATCTCTGAGGGCTGGCCTTGCTTTCTCCAGGTTGGGTGGGGTAGCATTTGGGAGTGGAGCTCCATGTGAGTGTCCTATGCTTGGGGGTGCTCCCAGTTAGTGCAAACTGATTCTGCCCTGGGATCAGCCCTTCCTCCACCCAGTTTAAAGAGCCATGGTATTTCACTGGATTCCCTGCCATAATAGGTTTGAACCACTGTGTCCCTCAAACCTCCCAGCAGTGGCTGGAGGAAGGGAATATATGGACAGTCCCAACTGTTCCCATCCCTGTTGGTACAAATGCCCCTTGCACAAGCAAATTCATAAAAGCTGTCTTTTGGGGGTGAGTCCAGTGCAAACGGCTCTTGTGCAAAGTCAAAAAAAAAAAGTTTTCCCCCCCCCCAGAGTCTTGGTTGTGGACTTGATATGATGCAACCATAACATGTGGCTGGGGGAGGGGATCCACATCTTATGGTCTGCTTTGTGGACCTTTCCAGGGCAGGTCATCTGAGGCTAGGCCTGGCTCTCTCCAAGTTGGCAAGAGGGAAACCCAGGAATGCCAGGTACAGACATTGAGCAGGGCCACTAAAGAAGGCAGGGGAAAGGACCCACACCCAGAAGGAGGGAGAGCCAGGAGGGAGCATGCCAGCCAAAGTCAGTGCACTGAAGCACAATTTCCTTTCACAGTGGGATTTGGGCACACATGGAACACTGGACCATGCAATGTAGAAGATGCCCAGAGATCTCACCAAACTCCTTTTCAGGGTGTAGTCTATTGGGAAACCAGAGAGGTGGGGAAGAGTCTGTGGGCTCAGGACAGCATAGAGAAAACTTGTTTACTTTTGTGCCAGGCAGGACACGAACACAGAGGTAAAAATTTCTACTTTGTGGCTTTCTCACATGAGGTGAGATGAAAAGTTCTCTGTTCCCTGCTTGTGGAAAGCACACAGCAAGCCCCCTGATTGTGGGAGTTGTCTTCCTTCTTCTTCCCTCCAGGTGCCTTCAGTCTAGGCACTGATAACTGATTTCTGTTCTCTTTATTCCTCTTCCACACCCTCATAGTGTGTCTCAGTGGGTGCACCTTAATATGCACCTTGATTTCTTCTCCTGGTTTTAAACCACCCAATTTCAACTTCTCCAAAGTCCACTTAAGTCTAATTTACCTCCTGATGGTTGGAAAATTCTGGAGAAAGCTTCCTGAAGGAGGTCTTCTTGCTCCATCCCCCTGGATTTCGGAGACTTGTAAATCACAGTACTTTTAATTTCTAGTCATCTAGCACAGTAGTCTAAAAATTGCATAATTTTCATTGTCTTAAAACTATTTATTTTTATATTTAAAGTGGATTTCTTAGATAAATACATGGTTTGGTCTTGTTTGCTCTCATTATCTTATCTGTTAATCTCTGCCTTTTAATTTTTGTGTTTAGACCAATTACATTAAATGTAATTGCTGATGTAGTTGATTAAAAATCTATCATATGTGCCATCTGTTCTTTGTTATTTTTTTCTCTTTCTGCCCTTTATGCATTATTTGTGTAGTCTTTATAATTCAGTTTTCCTTAATTATTTGCTTATTATTTATTCCTTTCCATATTTTAGTAGTCTTGTAAACTCTAGGGTTTATAATAAATATCTTTAGTTAGTCATGTCACAGTCTTCTTTCGAATAATACTATGTTTTGGTTTTGTTTTTTTTTTTTTCTTTTTACATATACCTTAAGAACCTTAAGTGGTAATTCCAATTTATCCCTCCATCCTTTGTTCTATTGAGTACATACACTTTTCATGTGGACACAGAGATTGGAATAATAGACATTGGATACTGGGAAAGGTGGGAGCATGGGAGGGTGATGAGGGATGAGAAATTACTTAAATGGCATTATGTATACTTTTTGACTACTGCATATGTTCTTATGCTTTATGGAGTCACACCGGTCTCTTATACTCTGCTCATTTTTATTTTTTTTAAGAACTTTTCTTTTTAAATTTCAGGTTAATTTGAGGGTACAAAGAAATAGGTTACAATGCTTGCATTTGCTGGTATTTGAGTTTGGTCCCCCACGAGGTACACCATATATTACCACAGCTTCTCACTCCTCCTTTCTCTACCTCCCTCCTATCCCCTCCACCTATCTTGATTAGAATTGAGTTTTCACTTGTGTGGCATGAATTAGAATGTCTACTGGCTTGATAATAGTATTGAGTGCATAGAATACTTACTTTTCCATTCTTATGATATTTTACTAAGAACAATGTGCTTCAACTCCATCCAGGTCAACACAACAGACGTAAGGCCTGGATCTTTTTGTGGCTAAATAGTATACCATGGTATATATATACCACAGTCTATTCATCTATTCATGGTTGAAAGGGCATAGTGTGTCCACATCTTGGTAATTGTACATTGAGCTGTGATGAAAAATCAGGTGAAAATGTCCTATTGATTAAATGATTTTTTCTTCTGCATCAATGCCTAATAATGGGATTTTGAGATCAACTGGAAGGTCTATTTTGAGTTATTTGAGGATTCTCCTTACTTCATTACAAAGAGGGCTATATTTGTTTGCATTCCCAGCAACAGTGTACAAGTTCCCTTCTTTGTACATCCATTTGTAGCTTTGAGACTTTGTGACGTTAGCTATTATCACTGGGGTTAGGTAATATTTAAGGATGGTTTCAATTTGCTTTTCTTTGATGATTAGCAATGATGGACATTTTTTCACCTGTTTGTTAGACATTCAACTGCTGTCTTCATAGAAGATTCTGTTCTTGTCTCTTGCCCAGTGGTAGATGATATTGTTTCCTCTTTTTTTATTGTTGTTGATTAATTTGAGTTCTCTGTAGATTCTAGTAATGGACTCTTTGATGTATAATATGAAAATATATTTTCTCATTCTAAAGGTTATCTATTTGCTTTATTTGTAGTGTTTTTGGCTGTGCAGAAGCCTTTCAGTTGAATTAAATCCCATTTGTTTATTTTTGTTGTTGTGATTGCCACTGTAGTCCTCTTCATAATTTCTTTCCCCAGGCCAACATACATAAGAGTTTTCCCCATGTTCTGTTCTACATTTTTTACTATTTTTTAAAGTTATACTTAAATCTTTGGTACATCTTGAATCAATTTTTTGTAAGTGGTGAAAGGTTCTGGTCCAGTTTCAGTCTTTTACATGTATTTATCCAGT